CTGTATTTTGGAGTCCATTGTGCCTCCTCGTCCTCCCTGCCTGGAGGAATGAGAGCCACCTCCTTCACCCCAGTATCGGGACACCTACGCGGCTGGTCCTGCGTGGGTCTCCCCTCCCCAGATCCCCCCCTCTCGCCCCCCTGCCCCCAGCCTGAACTTCTCCTGTTGTTTTCGTTGTAGATAATCCAGCTGCAAACTGGCTCCACGCGAGGTCCACCAGGAAGAAGCGATGCCCTTACACCAAGCACCAGACGCTGGAACTGGAGAAGGAGTTTCTGTTCAATATGTATCTCACTAGGGACCGTAGGTACGAGGTGGCCAGGCTCCTCAATTTAACTGAGAGACAAGTGAAAATCTGGTTTCAGAACCGAAGGATGAAAATGAAGAAAATCAACAAGGACCGAGCGAAGGACGAGTGATGGCAACATGCGGGTTAAATTGAAAAATGCATAAAGTAAAAAAAAAAAAAGAAAAAAAAAGGAAAAAAAAAATAAAAAAGTTAAAAATATATATATATTCCTCCCCTCGAGCCCTGCCATGCAATGCGTCTGGGTCCAGGCCTCGTTTTTTTCCCTTGGCAAATTCTGATAATGATTGTACCTTGATTGTCACAGAGGCCAGTTTACCAGGAGAGGTACAGTAAGACTTTTAATTTTCTAATAGGAAAGAAAAAGGGGGCATTAGCACGAAAAGGCTGTTTAGCTGGCTTGTATAAATCTACCTGTTTCTTCACTTACGGCAAGAAAAAAAAAAAAAGAAAAGAAAAAAAAAAAGAAGAAGAAAAAACTACCTTTTCATAATGCACAACTATTTACGGACTGTATAGTTTAGTCTACGTAGTTAATTTTATTCGCTCTTTGCGCGGCAGAGAGATCTCTGCTCTAATACTTGAACACTGTGTTTTATTGTGGTAATTATGTTTGTGACTCAATTTATGTGCTTGGGTGCTGTACCGGATGTAATGGTGTAAGCTAGAATTCAATTTGAACTCAGGTTGTTTATTATAAAAATTGCATAGAGTATAGCTCTGTAGTGTATTAAGTCTTTTCTGTATAATTAGACAGTTAACCTTTGATTGTAAAATATATATTATATATATCCCAACGCAAAAGAAAAAAAAAAAAGGTAGAAAAAAAGTTCGTCCGGGATGTCTGGGAATTACGGTTCTCAAAATATTGAAGCAAGTCATTTTAGTATGCACAGTTGATATATATATAGTACTGTCTTTGTCAGTTGTATATATAATCTATATATTAAAAAAAAAGTAAATAAACAGACTAGCTTAAATATTGTTTTTGCACCAGTGAGCAGTTATCAGATTTCGGAGCTATACGTATATGTGAAAAGGGTAACTACCTATGGTTTACGTTTTAATTTTAATCGAATGATTTGATGGTTATTGTAATGAAGGTTAATTTTATTGTTAATAAATTATACGCTATAAAAACCTACATTTGGTTATTGTAAATTTGTATCGATTTAAAAAAAAAAAACAAATAAATCCGGGAGGTTATGTTGATGCAGAACGTACACTGTCTATTTTGAAATAGTTACCTCATGGCCTACTGACCAAATCCTTGTGTTGAAATGATATTTAACTTTTTGCCAAATAAAATATATTGATTCTTTTATATTTTGTGATGTTTTAAGCTTATTAAGGAGGGGTTCTTCCACGGCACAGCGACTCTCGCCAGCAGCTGCGGGGCCAGGCGAGTAGCCCTGGGATTTCTAAGCCAAGGCAAACCCACGGTTCTATAAAGACAGATCCCAGGTGATGAAGATTTGGGCTTATTTTCCTCCTGAACTGGAAAGATTCGGGTTCCTAAACGCCATAGTTTGGCTGGGAGGAGGCACGGCTTCCCCTCTCCCGGGTAGATTTTGGTAAACTGGCTTTTGGGGTGCGAGGGGGGAGCCCCTTCGGATGGCAACGGGGGCACCTCCCCAGTTAACGCCGGTTTAATAAATTCGCCTGGCGGGGCGGGGGAATTTAGGACCAAACCAAAATGTCCGACGTTCTTCAGTGCGGACAATAATGTAAATCAGTTCAGGCAGCGACATTTAAGCGGAGCTGGTTAATTAGCCTCCACCAGAAAATGTCCAGCACTCGGTGTGCTTCAACATGCTCTCGGAGAAGGCTCGCTTTACCAGCGCCTTCATTTTAAATTCCCTTCTAGAGATAATTGCCCATGCAAAATATGCTATTTCAAACGCCACCCATTTTTTTTCCTTCCCTTGCCTTCACGTTTGGGATTTTGTTTTAATCTTTTAAATGTCCCGTGGCAAATAAAAACAACCCCTTGCGTTTTACTAGCGCCCGGGATTATATATGTACGGATAGATAGATAGATACAGATGCAGGCAAAATTTTACTGACAATTACAGTAGAATTTATGGTGTCAATTTTACTCTCCGATTTAGCCGAAGGAAAGAGCTGGGTGGCAGCAGGCTAGGGCAGAGAAGGCAGAATAGGATTTATTTTTAAAAACAGAAAGAAGGTTTCTTTGGAGTGGAAGATTTCCACACACACACCCCCCTCCCCATTGCACCCACCCCTCCCCCGCCGCCCCAAGCCAAACCAAGCTCAGCAACAAAAGAAAATAGCGAAGTCTGTGAGCTTGCTGAAATTTACCCTTGTTTTGGGCGGACATCTTACTGCTCAGAGTAGATATCCTCCATAATATGAGCCGCAGCCACACTCCTGCGCCACACCGACGCTTGTTTGCAAATATGTCGAATAACAATAAAAGCCTTCTTGTTTTACGGAGCTACACTTACATATAGATATATGTATTTAAAGCAAAATAAGACGGAACACGGTTATGGTCTTGGCAGAAGTTGTTGTTAGGAAAATTCAGAGCCATACAGCGCAATAAAAGAAAATGACTGCTGTAACCGTTTATGGGGTGTAAAACGCTGCAGGGCTGAAGACAAAACTTAGGGAGCCGGCAAGAAGTTTACAGATGTGCAGAACTGCGGGAGGAAAAAAAAAAAAAAAAGAAAAAAAAAAAACCACAAGAAGCTTTCGGCTTCCCCTTGAAAAAAAAAAAAAAAAAAAAAAGAAAGAAAGAAATCCGGGGTAAGATTTGATGAGTTCTAATTAGCGAAAGGGAGCTCGTTCTGGTGTGCACACACACAAAAAAGCCCCTAATTGATCCCTGAGCCAGTATTTGGGGATGCTGGGACGCCCTCTGTTGTTGCAGACAGAGGCAACTTCAAAGAATCAGCATTAAGAGTGTGTAATAAATGACGGGTCTGCAAACTGTCTGGAATTCGGCTCTTAATGAGTTTACAACTGTCCAGCCACAATTAAGATTTTCTACAAAAGCCTTTTCATTTGTTTTGTCTGGCTGTTTTAGATAAAGCGGGCGAGCGGAAATAACAACCTTTTATTGGCCTTCCCCTGCTTAAATCCAGGCTGGGAGGTGGACATTTATCTTCCCGCGGGCTGGCGGGCAGAGGCGCTGGCTCCGCGGGGCCGGGGCGGCGGTGGCGGCGG